TATATAAAACGAATTTTTCAATTTTATTCAAAATTGTAATATTGCCTTTTCATATGAAATCGAAGTTTCTGCGGTTCCTCGTTCTGCTTATTTACTCACACTGAAACTCATTTCGCTTGTTAAATAAAAGGTAGGCATTCGCGGTAACAAAACCTGGCGTAGATCCAAATGACTCAAGTCTAATGGATGGACGCCAAGTACGTATCACATTCACGCCTAGTCCAATTTCCTTTAAGTTTTTTCATGATTTACTTATTTGGCATACAATCAAGTCCAATAGAAATACATTTTGTTAAAAAGCGGATCTTAAAACTTAACATTAAAATAATAATGAAATAAATAACATGGAATATTTTTCTCTTAAACATACGTTTTTTTTTTGTGTGAAATGTAATATAAAATAGAAAAAAAAAACTTTTTGTTAATAATATATCATTACCTAAAATGTTCTGTTTAATAAACTCAGTTAATACGAAAAAGGAAGCCTTTTAAAAACTGTCTTTAAATTTTTTCGTGTATATTCTACTAGTCACTTTATAACACAGTCATTGAAATGCATCATAACCGGAGTAAAAATCAACTATGTTTTCTACTAAAGGAACCAAATAGAAGGTAATGAACACATTGATTTTACTGTAATAGTTTCTATCGCTTCTGTCCCAATTAAAGGCCTTTTGAGTCATTTTATCACTAGCGCCCGTGAAATCACATAGTCGCCCCTTTGTACATATGTTAGTACCTTTTATATGGGTCTTCAAAGTTTATTATTTTTAAGCTGTGATTACTATTTATTAACATTTTCTTACAGAGATTGTGTCTTTGATTATGAATCAGATTGAGTTGATTTAAAAAAAGGCATAAAAACTACCTTTATAACAAAAAAAAAAATTAAATTATGTTGTTGTCATAAAAAATTACAATAAGGCGTAGAAACATTCGAAAACTTAGGTTTATTTAAATGAATAGTCCCGAAAATAAGTATGTATTTTTACACTAACAAATATAAATACAGTTATAAAGACAGATATAAATAAAAGGTTACGATACACACTGAAAGACAAAAGATTGAAAACAAAATCAAACAATATCTGGTCATTTGTGAATAATATTTTTTGTGTATGATCTAAAAAATATCATTATTTTAAGGAGTAAGGGAAAATTTTACGACATAAATTGAATAGGTTAATTAAAAAGGGATGCGACACGAAAAAGCTTTAAATTAAAGGATCATGGAGAAGTTTATTCTTTACATAGTTATAATTATTAAAATATTTATAGAAATGGTGTATTTTAAAGGAATTACATCAATCATCTTGATGATTGATTGATTGATGAAGATGATTTAACTGTTCACAAAGTTTTATCATTTTTATTAAAAGTAATAGTAACATACACCTAACTAATATATGTATAAATATTAATTAAAATTTACTCTCCACAAGCATAGTAATATTGTTTAGTATAACAAAACAGGGCTTAGACCCTATTTAGTTCCAATTATAAATAATGTCTTGAATACATTTAACAAACTATATCATTTAAGGGAAATAATTATACACAGGAATGGAAATTCGATATTCCCTTACATCTCACTAACGAGAACCAATTATGTTTATTGAAGTTAGTATTTCATAGTTAAAATAAATATATGTCAGATCGAAAACAATTGTTGTAGTGAGTTTAGAATTGTATTTAAACATCTTTGTTATTTAGTGCTAAGACAATTTCTTATGTTTTTTAAAAATTATTAAAATCCTTTACTGTACATAGGACTTGGAACGTATACTTCTTAATACATTTTAAATTTAACTATTATGAATACGTTTTAAATAGAAAGTAACGATTTAAAATATACATTTGTGTTTCTTATAGTATAATCTTATTTTGCAATAATACCACGAATTATAGAAATAATGCGTATATTTGATCATTATAATTTACCAATTTTATTTAACCTCAGTTATATAACAGGCATTGCAGAATAATAAGTTACTAAAAGTAATAATTTTCAATCTAAAACTGCAATTGTTTTTTATGAAGTTTTTTTTTATAGAAACATGCATATTATCTAAACTTATCTAAGCAGGTATTTTTTTTAGGAGCTCCATACATAGAAATAAGAATGTGAGTTCCGTTAGAGATAACTTCTTGTCGAGTTGAATTACTCTTTTTTAAAAGTTATACATTATACATACGATGAAGCTTACAAAACTTTCAACTTTTTGAAACGTTATATCTCAAAAACGTTGGCTTTTAGGAAAAAAAGTCGATTGACTTTTTTATAGATAACTGATGATCTATAACCTTGGACCGATGAGGACTTTTCATATTTCCTTTATTAATAGTTTATTAAACAATCCTACCAAAAATCATCCAATTGGACATTATTGTAACCATACATTATTTTAAAAGTCACTTAAAATTAAAAACTGCTGCTAATGTTCGTGGCAACCATATTATAAGTACTTCCTATTAATTGTATTAACGCCAAAATAATTCTAATTTACTTTTTTTTTCAAGTGTCTCATAACCCGTAAACGGCTGGACTGATACTTGTGTGTATGGCTGTGGGTGCCAACTTATCTAACAGAGAGTCCATGATAAAAAAAAATCGATTATATAAAAAAGTATTTTTTTTTACTAGAAGGAAAACAAATTTTAAATAAATAAAACTCACGAAAATATTAGATCTAAAAACAATTTTTGTTGAAATAAATACCCACATTTTTAATTAATAGTTTATATAGCTACAAATTAATGCTATATAATTGTTGTTTGATATTAACCAACGTAGACAAAAAAATCATTTTACTGTAAAAACTTACCGAAGGAACAGTTAGACCTACGCGTAGCTACGGTTGGGGAATATAATTCTTACCTAATATATTAATATTTAATTCTGAAGCTATCACAAATAAAAATTAATCATTTACATAAAGAAAACATCGATGTCTTTAACTTTTCTATATATATATATTACTTTAAAATTCTACAAAATATATTATTTGTTTAAACGGTTGATGAAACCTAACCTAGCCTAGAATATAAGAGTCAGACAAAAATCTGTTTATACTTTTACAGAAAATATATAAATGAACATAAAGTTGAATGTCTCATTCCTGTAAATACAATATTTCCAATTTTTATCAAAACATATAGATGGAATAGAAATATACGGAATATACTAATATATTATATTATTCGTTTATTAACATTGCTAAACAGCATTCGGGTACGACTTTTGCATTCGGTTAAGGTTGAAAATAAGTTTTCCTTATTTTGATGTAATATTCGATGAAACTTTAAAACTGTCTAGAGTTTTGAGCTTTTGAAAACTTCGGTAAAACTGTGTGCTATTTGTGTGCTAACTTTTAAAGGCTTGTTTAATAATTTTACTTTTTTATTTATGATTATCTCGCAGTGCCGTAACGAGAAGTAGTTATTTTCCCTTGTTCTATTAATGTAATTTAACGCAACGGAGTGACATACAACTACATATTTTGAAGTATTTGAAATGTGTTGACTTAAATAATTGAATATAAATTAAAAATTTCATAAAACCCCCGACATAATTAGAAAGATTAAAAGAACCAGTCAAGACGAATTCAACGAGCCCAAACTCGATGCGTCAACTTAAAGGCAGTCCAGGGTTACGTCTCTTATCTTTGAGCCCTAACAGCAGACCAGCGCAGTGGTTCCAGAAGACATTAGTGTTTCAAATGTAAGATCCCACATATGCTTGCAAGCAAATTGTGCGTGTAACATTTCTATCACACCTAACAAACGACCTGAAGACCTTGAAGACCTGAACCGATTTCCACCAAACATAGCTAAGACACGGACACTTTCAACGAATATATCTTTCAAACAAATAAAAAAAAATGGATTGTACGTTTGGAAGCTACGTTGCCTCAGACAGATACACACACTGACACGTCAAACATCCCGTCGTTTTTACGTAGGTGGTCAAAAACTTTACAAAGTAGAAACTACATTCTAAATATATATATTTTTGTCGATAGGATTTAATAATTTAGTGACTACGGAAAGTAAATTTTTTACTTTTATAATATTTATGCATATTTATTTAACTTTTAAAAACATCGTAGCTTATATATGGAAAAATTAATGTGCTGCTTAATACCAAGTGATGGCAGATTTGTAATGCTAAAATTTCTTTAGGATTCTTTTGTTATATTAATTCATATTTTTTGTTAATTCCTAAATATATTCTTACAAAACCATTTCAAAAATTATAAGATTCTGACATTCAATTCAAAAGATATCACGAGTTAAAAATTTTGAAAGATATCCGCTCGGCGGCCAACTATGCGTTGTAGAGTTGTAGGCGTCACTCGGGCACGGAGGTACGGGAGGGGGATTAAGATCACGAAATAAATCTAAGAATTAAATTTCTTATTTTTTTTTATGTGACGCAAAAATTTGTGAATATTTGTGTAAATGTCATGCTTAATGCCCGTGCGAAGCCGCTACTCGTATATGTACAGACATATAATAACATCCATTACAACGTTCCCAGTTTTTCTGTAATGTATTTAGCATCAGCATTGCACCCGTGCGAAGCCGAGCTGGGTCGCTAGTCCAAACATAAATGTAAGCGGTTACTTTTAACCTGATTAAGTAATTTCTGGTACCAAATGATTTTTCGACCCAATACACTTATTGGGTCACTGACCAGGCCTAGTCCCTTAATTTTTATATCAAGAGAATAAAGAAAGTGATATGCAAATATATTTTTTTTATATCTATATTTAACGTTAAGTAACAAAACTTCCGGACGGATTATATTATGTAAGTGATTTTACAATGATGACCTAGTCTTCATATAGAATATATTTGACAAATTTTGCACACCGAGGAGGTCGTTGACTAAACAAGCTGTCGCCTTTGCCGCAGGCAATGTTACAATTACTATAAAACTATAGGACAGCAGCAAATACATCATTCAGTGCTCTGTTGCTAATACAACAATATTAAAAATGTTCTCTCGTGTAAGTTAGTTACATAAGTGAATTTAAAATAACACAGTATATTTGTAAAACAGTCTACAATATTACTTTTTTCTTATAGTTGGTAGCTCTTTGCGCTGTCGTGGCGGTGTCGTCAGCTGGTCTCCTGCCAGCAGCCGTACACTACTCCCCAGCCTCCGCCGTCTCCTCTCAGAGCATCGTACGTCATGACCAGTCTCAAGCACATGTCGCCAAATTAGCCGTTGCTGCTCCAGTCGCATACCACGCTGCTCCCGTTGCCTACCACGCTGCCCCTGCCCCAGTTGTCTACCAGTCTGCCCCAGCCCCGGTTGCCTACCACGCTGCTCCAGTCGCCTACCACGCTGCCCCCATCGCTAAACTTCTAGCTCAACCCGAAGAAGTTGTAAGTTTACTACAAAACTCAGATTACTATAATGGTTTCAAAATGAGAACAAATTATTCATAACAACAATTTTCAGGCCTACCCCAAATACGAGTACTCTTACTCCGTTGCTGACGGACACAGTGGAGACAACAAACAACAGCAGGAGTCCCGCGACGGTGATGTTGTGAAGGGATCCTACTCATTCCATGAAGCTGACGGCTCCATCAGGTCTGTTGAATACAGCGCTGACGACAAGAACGGTTTCAACGCAGTAGTACACAACTCCGCTCCCACCGCCGCGCCCGCACTCATCAAGGCTGCCCCACTTGTACTCAAGGCTCCCGTCTACGCTGCCCCTGTACACCAATACTACCATCACTAAATACTTGTATAAGTAATATTTATTAATATTACTGTGTATATAGCTATTTATGGAAAATAGTAATAAATATTAATGAAGTAAACAGTTTATATTTAAATGATCGTCAAATATGCAAGAGCCTATTGTTATTATAAGAATGAAAGAAAAATGGTTTCCCTTATATCGAAGATTCTCATTTTATATATATTGGAACATGTTGAACTCACGCTTTCAATTGAAAATAACGACCGTCACTAGAAGAAAAACGTTGATCCCATTTTTTACCTTATTAGTAGTGTCTCGTTAAATGTACCAATATAAATTTACCGTTTTCAAGCAATATTTAACTAACTACACATTAGTTTTGAAAATTCTGTAACATTAAGATTGTAAAATTAGTTTAGGGGTCATAAAAATAATTTATTACTTTTTAATTGTAATATTGAATCTGTATTTCATGTTTCTCTGATCTTTGAGTAACATCAACCACGGAAACAATACCAGTCAATATGTACTTCGTGTGTTTTACATAATTATTGATTTTTATTTTATAGCGTTCGAGCGAAAAAAAAACACTCAGACCTAAGTGTGCCCTCTTTACATCTTCTATTACTTTCAGTACATACGTGTATGTTTTTTCACTATAGTAGCTTATCTCGCTTGCAAAAACCAATATTTTCACCATGTTCTTTAGAAACATAACAGTTTAATTTGGTATGTATTATACCTGTATTATTTCACCACCCTAATAAGAGATATATTTTTTTAATATGATCTATGGTTTTCCGAAGTCAACACTCGCAAATACTTGAAGAAGCAAAATGCTATGGATAAAGCTAAGCTTATTACGAAACTCAAAAAACTTTAAAGGATTGATAGCAAATATTTGTGTTTTTACTTGCTTATTAATGGAGAGTTTGACAGTAAAATTATAATAAAATTATTACGTACGTTAATGATATATATAAAATATTATATGATTTTTAAAATAACATGTACCTTTAATACTACTCGAAGCTCCAATACTTAAATAATTTTTCTGTTTTCCTAGTCATAGTTCCATAAATATGGTGATACAAAATTCTCCCACTTACAATTATTGGACTGAAGCCTGAATTTACCTTTATTGTTTTCAATGTAAAACACTAGTAACAATAATATTATTTAATGAGAACATTTTAAAAGCAGACAACGAACAGATAATACTTAATGTTGCTTTATATAATATTTTTATTATATAACATAAATATTTAAAACAGTTGCGGGATATATTAAAACATAACTTCTTCTCAATTATAAATCATACATATGTAGATATCTATAACTCAGTAAAAGTTATTATGCAAATCATTGCTTTAAAGATAAAAATCTGAAAAAAATATATAAATATATTTGTCGGTAAATGTAGCATCATAAAATTAGTGTCATAAATGATAGGTCTACCACCAAGCAGACTTCAAGTAAAGTGAGGTGAAACAAAAATAAATATTTAAATTAGGCATATACATCAAATTTATAATCTACCATAAGAAAGTTTCTATAGAAAGTTAAATATAAACTTGTTATTTCTACTTTTGTTGGATAACAGCTAGATTGCTGGAAGGTATCAACTTGTCGGTACCAAGATTTGATTTATGAGAGACTACGAATAAGTTACATACTCCTTTTTATACATACGAGGGTTTCATTCCAAATATTTGCCGTTTAATGCTGAAAAGTTTCGTCTCATAACTTTGACAATCACACTTAAATATGAGTAAACATCTATATTAAAAGGCGACATTTAAACTCAACGTTGAAAATTAAGAAAGATTTTTAGTGAATATTGCAATTAATATTTAAAAAAATATAAACGTACTACTTCTGTACGTGTAATTCTAATTTAATTTTTCATATGTTGCAACTTTTAATTATTAATTATGAATGGCTGTTACATAATATATAAAATTGAATACACGGGTATATATTGTTTTATACCTAACTGAGAAACACAATGAAACTTTAGAACTGTCTCTATTTTTAACCTCTTAAGACCTGAGTGATATTTGTTGAGGCCTACCTTATTATAAGTTTCCTTTTGTTCGCAACGAGCTGACAGTAATCGTATATAATATAACAATAATAAGACCATAATTTTAATTTCATTATTATATGTAGTAGAACGAACGAAAAGTAATTATGTATTAATTGCTTTTAAAATTAAAACAAAAATTGTTTGAATTTAAGCTTTTCATTGTTAAAAATAATTGCAATATCATAGGGTTTACTGTAAAATCGAAGCGATTTACCTGAGTATTTTAACTGTAACTAAAAACACAATATTTAACAATTACATAAGTTTAATGTCTCTTCAAATTTTTAGAGGCTCTAAATGAATAAACTACTTTAAATATAGTTTTGTCAATAATGAGATCTATATGTAAAAAATAACTCATGCTTATATAAGAATGAGGTTTTTAATTTTCAATACCTTATGAAATCCAAAAGAGTCATCAACAACTTAATTTATGAACTCGATCTGATGATGTGGTTATTTCGAGCTTTTATTTCTAATTCTTTAAAAAAATACAATGAGAAATAAAAAAATTGGAAGAGACTATCTGTGGTCAAATTACTGCAGGACTGACTCAACCGAGAAAGTACCCATCCTCTCACAGACGGTCCGGTTGAAGTAGCCTGTAATGGCTGTAAAATGAATGCGAGTGCCGGTTGCCCTGTCCCTTTTCTCACCCTTTCCCTTTTCCCATTCTTTCCTCTCCCTCTTCCCCAATCAAGAGTGGTAATGCATCCGCAAAACTATGTTGCGGATGTTCATAAGCTACACTAACGAACTCCATCAGGTAGGCAGCCTGCGCGTTTGCATTAAAAAAACAAATAAACTACTTGATTACTAGGGGAAATATGTGATAGCTAAAGCTTAAGTCGAGACCAGAGTCTTATATGTACAACGCATTTGTAGTTTTGAGAATATTTTCAATTTCAGTTGCTAACAAGTTCCTGGTAAAACAAAATTTTTAAAGAAAAAAACCATTTAGAAGTATGAAAAATTGTATTTTTTTTATAACCAGCAATAAAATTACAGATATTGAATATTATGAAGGATATATCAATTATTTTATAAATAAATCACTTCGTTTTACAATTATTTTGTCTAAAAAGTCATTCACACCTTATATTCTTTAAAATTATAATAATCACTCAAACAACAAAAACCTCTATGCAGTTAATACTAAGAAAGTAATTTTGCAATAATAACCTAGTAACAATAAAATATAAAAAAAATTGCACACCGACAAGGTCGTTCACTAAACAAGCTGCGGCCTTCGCCGCAGGCAATGTTACAATTACTATAAAACTATAGGAGAGCAGCAAATACATCATTCAGTACTCTGTTGCTAATACAACAATATTAAAAATGTTCTCTCGTGTAAGTTAGTTACATAAGTACATTTAAATTAACACAGTGTATTTTTAAAACGGTTTATAATATATTTTTTTCTTATACATAGTTGGTAGCTCTTTGCGCTGTCGTGGCGGTGTCGTCAGCTGGTCTCCTGCCAGCAGCCGTACACTACTCCCCAGCCTCCGCCGTCTCCTCTCAGAGCATCGTACGTCATGACCAGCCTCAAGCTCATGTCGCCAAATTAGCCGTTGCTGCTCCAGTCGCCTACCACGCTGCACCCGTTGCCTACCACGCTGCCCCTGCCCCAGTTGTCTACCAGTCTGCCCCTGCCCCAGTTGCCTACCACGCTGCCCCAGTCGCCTACCACGCTGCCCCCGTTGCTAAGCTTGTAGCTCAACCCGAAGAAGTTGTAAGTTGACTATAAAACTAATTTGCTATAATGGTGTCAAAATGAGAACAAATTATTCATAACAACAATTTTCAGGCCTACCCCAAATACGAGTACTCTTACTCCGTTGCTGACGGACACAGTGGAGACAACAAACAACAGCAGGAGTCCCGCGACGGTGATGTTGTGAAGGGATCCTACTCATTCCATGAAGCTGACGGCTCCATCAGGTCTGTTGAATACAGCGCTGACGACAAGAACGGTTTCAACGCAGTAGTACACAACTCCGCTCCCACCGCCGCGCCCGCACTCATCAAGGCTGCCCCACTTGTACTCAAGGCTCCCGTCTACGCTGCCCCTGTACACCAATACTACCATCACTGAAAACTTATATAAGTAATATTAACATTACTATGGATATAATTATTTATGGAAAATAAATATAAATCTTAACAAAGATAAGAGCATTTGTTTTATTCGAAAAATTTGCTAAAATAATGAGGAAATCAAACGAGTGCTGGAAAATAATTAGTTATTATTAATTTGACTGTCTTTTTTATTAGAATTACCTTCTTGAGATTAGTATTATGTGTAAAATGTAGTCTAATAGAAATAAATATAAATGATAGCAAAATATCACAGTTAAAACCTACTAAAACTTTCCTAAAAGATGCCCCGAAGTAAAATAGTGAAATTCTTTGGAAAAGACAAAAGTTTTCTTACATTCCAAGAATCGAAAGTTTGAATCAAATTGAGTGAAGTCTTCTTAAAACTTAAAAGTGGCCCTATTCTTTATCTGGAAAGATTATGCATAATTTAAAAGGCAAAGAGACCTTGTCAAAAATTATTAGGACGTCATGTGAAATTTTAGCTAAGTTATCTAACGTCTTGGTTCATAAATGTGGTGTACTCTAAAAAAAATTCAGTCAATCAATTTGTTAAAATCCTTATTGTAGTTTATAAAAAAAGATCATTGTCTTCTAAGTATGAGATGAGGTGTCCACTCAATAGAGGTTGCTTAATCGTACAGACTATGAAAGTAATTAAAATCGGACTATAATAAGCAAGGTCCGCTCTCCCTTTCTTTTTAGATAAGGGTGTGATGTTTAAGGAACTATATCAGTCGCCAAATAAAAGAGAAAAGTTAGGTTCACATGGATCTCATGCTATAGAAGAAATGCCTTCGAACTTAGTTCACGTTAGACTTTGCAATATTCTCAACAACTGTTT